GGCAGACGCTTCGGCCGCAGAACGGTGCCGTCCCTGCAGCTGTTTCCCTCTATTCCCCGCCCCCCCCAAATCACCCCATGATGGCTACATTGGGTGGGGGTCACGAGGACGGAGCCAGACTCTTCCCAGTGGTGCCCAGCGCCAGGACAAGGGGCAATGGGCACAAACTGAAGCAGAAGAGGTTTCAGTTGAATATGAGGAAGAACTTCTTGACTTTGAGGGTGCCCGAGCCCTGGCCCAGGCTGCCCAGGGGGGCTGTGGAGTCTCCTTCTCTGGAGATATTCAACCCCCGCCTGAACGCTGTCCTGTGCCCCCTGCTCTGGGTGAGCCTGCTTGGGCAGGGGGTGGCACTGGGTGAGCTGCTGAGGTCCCTTCCAACCCCTGCCATTCTGGGATTCTGTGATTCCTGTCCAGCCCCCTAATACAACAAACACTGGGATTACTGACGCGGCCCCGACAAGGGTGCGTGCTCAAAATCACTTGATTTGTCTCTTTTTGGTCAAAGAACTTGCTTTTGTGTTCCGTATCAGTTCTTTTCTCAATCCAGTCCTGAACCTATCTATCCAAGTAAGTGGTCAAAGAGATTTAACAGAATTATGGTGTTATTCTTTACGAAAGAGGCCCAAATGGATACCTAGTGGTAATAAATCCAGAGCCGTCTCCCATCTACCGAGAGGGGGCTGCTTTTGGGATTGAGGAGTTCAAACCTGGGCTCTCCATCGGGTGATGATGCTCCACGACGGCACAAATACGGCCATTGCCAAATTCCCAAACTCTTCCAGCGAGTACAACATCCTGCATAAACCCAAAAATGCTTAAAATGGCCAGGGAACCGTTTTTAGACTGGGTTTTGGTGCTGAGTACAAAACACGGTTCTCGGCTATGGATTGAACAGTTTCCAGCTTCCAGGCTGGTACCAAAACCAACCGGGGGGCTGCAAGGACACCAGGGCAGTTTTCAAGAGGAATTTACTGTTTCTGCAAAGTACCGGAGGAGACACCTAAAGGAATCATAGAATCACAGAATCACAGAATGTTTTGGGTTGGAAGGGACCCCTAGAGGTCATCTAGTCCAACCCCCCTGCAGGAGCAGGGACACCTTCAACCAGATCAGGTTGCTCAGAGCCCCATCCAACCTGACCTTGAATGTTCCCAGGGATGGGGCCTCCACCACCTCTCTGGGCAACCCGTGCCAGTGTTTCACCACCCTCATTGTAAAGAATTTCTTCCTTATATCCAGTCTAAACCTACCCTGTTTTAGTTTAAAACCATTACCCCTTGTCTTGTCACAGCTGGCCCTACTAAAAAGATTTTCCCC